AGCCATAGATGCTTCTCCTGGGGAAGCCATGCTTCCCCCTTCCCTTCATCAGCAAAGAGGTGGCCAGGACCTAGAGGTCTCCGTCTTAAGCTCTACAGGTTGGAGGTCCTGCTTTGGGCAGGGGGCTGGACTCGACCTCCTGAGGTCTCTGCCAGCCCTGATTCTATGCACCCCAGCTTGTGCTCTGTGATGGTCCCTCCCCCCTCCACACCTTCTCACCAGCTCATGCTGCTCCTGCAGCTGGGCCATCTTCTTGGTGTACTTCTGGTCCACCTGCTTCAGCTCTGCCACCACGGCCTCGCACTTCTCACTCAGAACCTTCTTATCGTCAATCAGCTGAGAGAGGGGAGGGGAGGCAGGTGAGGTCACCCCGCTCGGGGCCCAGCGCCACGGCGGGGGAAGGGACGGCGCTGCAGGCCCACAGGTAGTCAGCTGACAGAGCAGCCCTGAACTACTCGGAAAGGTGGCCCAGGAACCTGCTCCCCTCCCAACGGGGCAGCAGCCGGCAGCGGACGGACTGTTCGCCAGAGGGCGGCAGGGAGGGAGACGGACAAGCCGAGGTCTCGGGGGCCTTCAACAAAGGTAGCCAGGACCTAGAGGGCCGTCAAACTCTACAGGTTGGAGGTCCTGCTTTGGGCAGGGGGCTGGACCTGCTCCCCTCCCTAATTCGACACCAGGCAGCCCCGTGCTGAGAACGGCAAGCAGGGTCCCCCCCAAGCACAAGGGCTACTGGCAGGAGTCTAGCTGGAGCAGACTCCAATGCTTCAAGGAGCATTTGGCGAGGTGGGGGGGCTCCTAGCTGCGTGACTGTAAAGCGTCCCACCCGGAGGGGAGGTTACCTGGTCGATGAAGGCCAGGTGTCTCTGGATAGCAGCCTCGTACTGCTCTCTCTGCAGCTGGAGCTGGTGGCTAAGCTCCTTCTCGGTCTCTTTGACGTGCCGCACGGTCAGTTCCCGCTGCTGTGCCTGTCGGGTGCAGGGGAAATAACCACAGGACGTGAAGGAGCCGCCCACACAAAGCTGAGACTGGCACAGGGCAGAGGCCAGGAACGGTGCCTGCCCACCAGGGTCAGCTTGGCAGGGGTTGAAAGCCACCATTCGAGCTCCTGGGGCTGCCAGGTCCCAGCGTGAGGGGCTGGCATGAGGAAGTGGAGGCAATCCTGCATGCTCGCTAGCTCCGTTCCCCTGCCTTTGGCAGCACGGGGAGGGCTCAGAAGTCCTGGCCCGACTGGGCCTCTTCCGGGCAAGGGGGGTGGGGGAGATCCGTTCCTCAGCTGGGCTTTCCCAAATCGCTGTCAATGGCTCAGACCGTGTCAGGTCGGGATCCATCCCTCTGGCCCCTCCATGTTCGCTTGGCTCCATGGAGAGGACTCTGCCCCCCAGCTGCCGGCGGTACTCAGCCGGGCTAAACGCTCGCCCTGTGATGCAGGGCGCGGCACAGCTCCTGAATACGTGGTCAGGAGGGCGGGCCAGCTCTGGTTTGCCCTGCTGCAGGTCCCACGGTCCTCTCCCCCCACCCTAGGCTGGTGAGTGTCTGGGCTACGCACCAGTGCAGTCTGCAGCATGGTGATGGCTCGCTTCTTCTCCTCCACCTCCAGCTTCAGCCTCATGATGGAGCTGGTGACTTCTGTGGCTACAGCTGAAGCTTGCTCCAGGTGGGCGGCCACCTCCTCTTCAGACAACAGAGGATTCTGGGAGAGGAACACATCACAACCAGAGCCGGACACAGCTCGGTGTGGGACCAAGAGCCCCCTTTCTCCCCCACAGCATTCACACCCAGGTCTCCACAGGTAGGAGGACTCTGTCTCTGTACTGTCGAGCCCTTCAGACGGGCTCTGGAATGCCTGGTCTCTCACAAGCCCCCTGCAATGGAGCCAGCAGAAGCTGTATTCCCATTCTGTGCCCCAAAAGCCACACCCAGGCCCCCATTTGCCCAAGGCCAGGCCTTCTGGAGACTCCCCAAAGGAGTCAAGAGAGCAGCAGGATGTCGGGGTACATGGTCCCCAGGCCTCAGTAGTTTCCCCTTTTCCAGCAAGGACTCTGATGGATCCATTTTGGTCCCCACGACGCTGGCCTCATCATTAGGCCAGGCTCTCCTGTTCCGCAGCAGTGTCCAAGTGGAACAGCCAGCTGGCAAGCCCCCATGTGACACAGCCCAGAGGCTCCCCTAGCCCCCTGCCCCACGGCTCACCTCCGGCTGAGCAGCAGAGGCGGCAGACCTGGGCCGCTCCTGCTCCGACTTCTCCATCTCATCCAGGAAGGTGATGATGGTCTGGAGCTTGGCTTCGGAGAGCAGAGCCCCGTCCCCAGGGACGCCGGGGCAGTGGTTCAGCTTTCCAAACTTCTCCAGGTTATCGGCAGTCAGGGAATTCGAGTCGGCCTCCTGCCCGGGGAGAGGACGTAGGGCATTAAATGGGCAGCAGTGCAACAGCACAGCAGAGGCAAGGCCGTGAGTCAGTAACCAGCTGTCACCAATCCAACTGCATTCTTCCATCGCCCCCTACTGGCTGCTCCTCCCAAGGACGTGCTCACACACCAGGAATCCTCCCTGGACAAGCACGGCAGGCCAAACTCCACCTTGTCCCTGACGGATACTCCCAGAGGCACAGTATGAAACGGTGGCATTTCACAGGCATTGGCTTTTCATCCCTGCTCACTGCCCCCACCCTGACTGGGCACACATTGCCTCAGGCCAGGGTGCAGAGCTCAAGTTTGCTGACATGTTAAGTGACTGCTTCTTGGAGCAGTTAGTTCTGGCACCCACAAGAGGAGAAGCAATTCTTGATTGAGCCCTTGGACCAGATGCTGTTCTCTGCGAAGAGGTGAAGATAGCCGGATCACTTGGTAACAGTGACCATAATATAATGAACGTTAACACCCGCGTGGCAGGGAAAGTACCACGGAAGCCCAACACTGCAGCATTTAATTAAAAAAAAAGGGACCATGCAAAAAATATGCTAGTTAAGCAGAAATTGAAAGGCACAGCAGCCAAAAATGAAATCCCTGCAGGCTGCATGGAAGCTTTTTAAAGACACCGTAACAGAGGCTCAACTGAACAGCCACATTAAAAAACAGTATGGAACCAAAATGCCATTGTGTCATTCCCAAAATACATGCAACTTTTAAAATCAGAATGCTAGCCACTCTGACTGAGTGGAGACTGTGGCTAAGCAGCTGCTCCTGGGGTGGGCAGATGGACTCAAACCCACAACCTCAGGCTCCAGGGGCTGAGACCTAAGCCATTAGGCCAATGGAGTTCTCTTTGCTGAGCACTTGTTCTGCATTTTGATGTAGTTTGGCTCTTTGCTTTGAAAAGGTCGCCCACCTCTGCATTACAGGATGTTTTGGAACAAAATGACAAACTGAATACTAAGAAGTCACCTAGGGTATGTCTACACTATCCCGCTAGTTCGAACTAGCGGGGTAATGTAGTCATCCGCAGTTGCAAATGAAGCCCGGGATTTGAATTTCCCGGGCTTCATTGGCATGAAGCCGGCCGGCGCCATTTTTAAATGCCGGTTAGTTCGAACCCCGTGCCGCGCGGCTACACGCGGCACAGAGTAGCTAGTTCGGATTAGGCTTCCACGAGGAGTACAGCTAGTTCGGATTAGAAGCCTAATCCGAACTAGCTACTCTGTGCCGCGTGTAGCCGCGCGGCACGGGGTTCGAACTAACCGGCATTTAAAAATGGCGCCGGCCGGCTTCATGCAAATGAAGCCCGGGATTTGAATTTCCCGGGCTTCATTTGCAACTGCGGATGACTGCATTACCCCCGCTAGTTCGAACTAGCGGGGTAGTGTAGACATACCCCAGGACCAGCTGGCATTCACCCTAGAGCTCTGAAGGAACTCGCAGCGTGGAACTGCAGAACTATTAACTGTAGTGGGTAACATACCCTTTACATCAGATTCTGTACCAAATGCCAGGAGAATAGCTAATATGACAATTTTTAAAAAGGGCTCCAGATGTGATCCTGGCAATTAAGGGCCAGTATCATATAGATGAATATAATTTATTGGGGGGGAGGGGGGGAGAAGAGAGTCAGCATGGTTTCTGTGAAGGGAAACCATGCATCACCAAGCTACTAGAATTCTTTGAGGGAGTCAACAAACATGTGGACAAGGAGAATCCAGCGGATATAGTGTTGTTAGATTTTCAGAAGGCCTTGATGAGGTCCCTCTCCAAAGCTCTTTAGCAAAGTAAACTGCCTTGGGATACGAGGGAAGTTCCTCTCCTAGATTGGTAACTGGTTAGAAGACAGGGAAGAAGGGCAGGAATAAATGGTCAGTTTACAGAACGGAGTGAAGTAACTAGTGGTGTCCCCAGGGTCTGTTCTGGGACCCGTCCTATGCAACATATTCACAAATGAGCTGGCAAACAGTGAGGTGGCAAAACGTTACAAACTCCTGAAGATAGCTAAGTCCCGGGGGCCCAGGGAAGGCCGGAGTGTCAGGTGCTGCCAGCGAGTGGGTTCTGGCGGGGAGGAAGGAGGGGGCTTGCTGCCCCCCATGGTTATTCCACAGTATAACTGTGCCTCCTGCCAGACCCCTCCCTTTTCGGAGGGGTTCTTGGACAGACACACTCACAGATGGACAGACAGACGCGCGTTTCTAAAACACATGCACAGCCAGCACGCAACCCCCTGCTGACCTCAGGGCAGCAGAAAGTGAGCCCTTGGATGGAAGCTTCCTTGCCTGCAGCAGCCCTTGCCCATCCCTGAGCCCCGACATTACCCCATCTATCCAGGCATATTTGTCTTTCTTGTAGAGCTTAGGTTGGGGCAGCAGCTCCGGCTCCTCCTCCAGCAATTTGAGCGTGTCCAGGAGTTCGTTGAGGGTGACCTTGGAGTGGGCTCTGCTGCTTGAAGTGACCGCCGTCTGCAGCTCCTCGCTCGCCAGCTCTCTGGAGTTCACATCCTAGAGCGGGGGCAGGAATGAAGGAAAAACCACACATGGTAGGTTTCCAGGGCCTCCCCAGCTCCTAATCCGGGCAGGGGCCCCAGGGCAGCCTGATGCAGAACAGGGAGCTGAGTGGCCCTTTGATTCCCTCCCTCTGAAGTGAGCAAGGCCCATCTCTGGGGCTGGGTGAGCAAGGCAGTCACAACTTGCCGGGCCGTTGGGTCATGGCCACGCTCTCCTGCAAGCCTCCTGGGCCTGCTGGGGAAAAGGCTGAGCTCCTGCTGGCCCGCACTGAGCCTCCCTCAACTGAAAGGGTCTCGATGGAAGGGAGAGAGGCCAAATCCAGCCTAAGCTTCCTATAGCACCAGTGACTTTGGCACGAAGAGAAAGGCTGAGTCCACCTGAGGCTTGTCCTCTGCCACATTATCCCGTCCGGTGCCCGAACCAGGCCCTGGGTGGAAGCTTGGCTCTGGCTCAGTAGCCGCCGCTCGGAGATCTGCATCTGTAGGAATGAGAGCAGCATGCGCCTCTGTACTCCAATCCAAGAGCACTGCCCTGGCCCTCCTTTCGGCTTCCACGCCCTAACCCGCCGCCCCGCCCTCGGCCGCTGGTGAGAGGTGCACGTGAAGCTGGGCTCTGAACACCGGGGGGAGACTCACCTGCATTATTGGCTTTGACGATGCTCTGAGCCGGGCTGACGTTCTTCCCAGAGACCGGCTTCGTGGGCTTTTTCCTGCCCACCCGCCTGCTCTCCTTGGGCAGCATCAGCCCCTCCTCCGCGAGGCGCTTCGCCTCAGAGGCCTTCTGGGCTCGTTTCTGTTGAAGCTCCTTTAACAGGGGACTCAGCGTCAGCACCCTGCCCAGCACAAAGCCCCCTCGGCGTGGGTGACCAGCGGCTGGGGGAGGGGGGTGACAGCATGAGCAGTGGGGAGATGCAAGGGAGAGCCAGTCAACTCGGCGCAGCAGGCAGCGAGGGGTTAACGAGCTGATGATCCATCCAGCAAGACAGGGGACGTGGCTTCCAAACCAACGCATCCGCGCTGTGTCAGCAACCCCCAGAGCCTGAGTCTTCCCGCGCAGGGCTGGCGTGGGAGTAATCCCATAGCGCAGTAGTGGGGGCGGGGCCAGTACGACCAATGCGCAGGCAGAGCAGCAGCGCCAATGCCTCCGGCCAACGTGCTTCAACCTGCCCTGCTGGGACCAGTCCCTCCCAAGAGGGGTGTCCAATGTCTGGGGCCCCCGGGGCCGGGGCCTGCTGGGGCTGCCATTCCAGACGTGGAGGAGGACAGTCTCGCTGGTGTGGAACAGAGACCAGCTTCTCACACACGCTGCTGAACGGCGAGAGATTCCGGGCTGGCCAGGGCAGAGGGGAGTATCCCCGGGGGCTATGCCACTTAGTGCCCAACCCTTCCCCAGTTACGCCGCGTGCAGCCTGTGTGAAGGCAGGCAAACACCCCTCTCCCCTTGCCCCACATCCACCTCCTGACAGGCAAGCGCTCAGAGCCCACCGATTCCACCATTACCTGGACAGCCGCTCGCCGGGCAAGCTGGGCCTTCTCCTCCCGGATCCTCTGCCTCTCCTCATCCTTCTTCCGCTGCAAGTCCAGGACGTTCCCCTCCTCCATCCGCTGCTGCTGCCTTCCCTTCACACAAGCCCAGAGGGAGGTTACGGAGAACTATGGGTGCTCCTGGCCAGCACGCAGCCAAAACAGGAGCAAACCGCATTTCCCCCCTGGCTGGGGTTGCCCCAAACCCAGAAAGTTTCCTGTGTCCAGAGAGGCTTGGCTCTAGGGGGCATGCTTCTGAAACACTACAAGCAATTACGGGCTGGCTGGTGTGAAATCACTGATGAGACAGGCTTAAAAATAGACTCACATGCGAGAGCGCCACAGTTTCTCCCTATTTATCTAAATAATTAAATAGGAAGAAGTATAAAAAGCCGCAGGTGCCGCATCACTTCCTGAGGTGCCAATTATCAGCAGGGCACAGCGTGCCGACCCAGGGCATCACTGCTCTAGCCAGTAACCTTCAACAGGAGCTATGGCTGTTACTGCCAGTCGAGTGGCTGTTTGCAGCTACACCAGGTGAAGGGAGAGACACCAGCAGAGGCTGACACGAGGGGCTTGTGGCCTGGTTTTCAGAGGGACTAAACGCCCACGAATGGCAGTGTGAATGGGTGCCATGCAAACCCCCAGGCCAGCAGTGCTGCGCGCTGTCCCACGAGCCGCCCAAGCCTAGTGACTGGGCCCCGTCTCTGCTTCCATGACCTTGCAAGGGTCGAACTTGTCTCGCTCTCCCCTGGCTACCCTGCAGCCGGGTCCAGCTCTCAGCTGCAAGGGCGGATGGCCAGACAGGAAGCACTTCTCTGTTTCCAGGGGCAGCAGGCTGTGTCAGATTGGGGAGTGGGCTCTGAGCGAACACCCAGGAGACCTGCCTGTGACAGACCTCTCTCTTGGAAGCCAACAAGCTCTCGAGAGCAGCTGCACCCATCTTGTGCCTCTGCGAATGGCGTCGGTACCAGCGCTGATGAATGAACCTGTGCGGGAAAGAGGCAGCTCAGTGACCCAGCTGCAAGCACATGGGCGGAGACCCCCAGCCTGAGGGCTTGCCAACCATCTCCCCGCTCCGGTCACTGGTTTGGGTTGTCCAAAAGGGAACGGCTGTTTCTCGGAGATTAGTCAAGAGAACGGCCAGAGCGGGTCAGACCAAAGGTCCGTCTAGCTCAGTAACCCGCCTCCCTGTACGATCAGGCCGTACAAGCTCACCGGTAGGCTGAAGACAGGCCCAGACCACAGGCTGTGCTAAACTGATGTAGAAATGGGGACAGGCTGATTTCCACCAGCTCACAGACGGACTCAGAGTACGCACGCACAAACGTCCGACTAGGCAAAACCTGCTCCTCCTCCCAACTCCAGCGTCTCCCTTTGCCTCTTCCTATTCATGGATTCACACTTGATTCATTCCCTCTCCTAACGCCAGAGCAGTCCCTTTCTTCTGTGTCCCAAGCCCTGAGCTGCCTGCCTTGCGACTTCCCAGGGCTGCCCCCATCCCCGGCACCCCATCCTCCGCCTCCACCAGCCCGGAGCTTCTCCCTCCCCTGCCGCACCTCTCCGCCTCCTCCTCCGTCACCTCCGTCCTCTTGAGCAGGCTGCTGCTGCTGTTGTTGCAGGGCACTGTGTTGTTGCTGGAAAAGTTCTTCTGAGACTTCTTGAAGCTGCTGCTCTCACTGTCCTCGTTCAAGGTCGCTTTGATCATGTTGCTAAGGGAGAAGAGGAGACTGTCTAGGCCAGGGGTCAGTAACCTTTGGCTCTCGCTAAATATGACTCCGTCTGAACCAAATACCACTACCTCTATCAGAGGCAGCAAGGGGGGAGAGGGAAGGAGAAGAGAGGGGTACTTCAAAACAGCAGCACTGAACGGAGCCCGGGATCAGTTGTGCGGTGCTGCCCCTTTGAAACGCTGCCACAGTGTTTCAAAGGGACAACGTACACGATTAATGGCAATTCATTTTTTTAGTCACTTGACAGCCCTAATATCAAGTTGTATATTTTCAGTCATGCGAATGGGCATTCTTATATGGCTCTTTGTGGACCATTTGTTCTGGATTTTTGTCGTTTGGCTCTCTGGTTTGAAAAGCTGAAAAAACAACCAATAGTCTAGTAGCACTTTAAAGACTAACGAGAGTGTAGATGGGATCATGAGCTTTCGTGGGCACAGCCCACTTCTTCAGAGGACAGAAGAGGGCTGTGCCCAGGAAAGCTCATGATCCCATCTACATGTTTTGTTCGTCTGTAAGGTGCTACTAGACGATCTGTTGCTGTCTAAGTTTTTCCTGTTACAGATTAACTCAGCTTCCCTCTGAAGCTAGGTTAGAAAAGGCTGCCTACCCCTGTATTAGAGGGTGTTTTGGAACAAACTGACACAGCTACAGGGCCTGCTGAAGGAGACCAGGCTGCCAGCTAGCATTAGCAGTCACGCTGGGGGGGGAGGGAGGGGAGCGGAGGCGAGGGGCGGGGCGTGTCTAAGTTTTTCCTGTTACAGATTAACTCAGCTTCCCTCTGAAGCTAGGTTAGAAAAGGCTGCCTACCCCTGTATTAGAGGGTGTTTTGGAACAAACTGACACAGCTACAGGGCCTGCTGAAGGAGACCAGGCTGCCAGCTAGCATTAGCAGTCACGCTGGGGGGGGAGGGAGGGGAGCGGAGGCGAGGGGCGGGGCGTGGATATGTTTTAAGCATCACCACCTCTCATGCAAACCCCCCAGTCCCAGCCGGCGCGGCAGCAGAGAACTAGTCCCCAGCAGAGTGCTCACCCACACGTACTTGAGGGAGGATGCTGCCTGGTTGGAGCTTTTTGGCGTGGAGGCCTTGTCTGCGGTGGAGTAGTTGTTATGCACCATGGTGGTCACACAGTTGCCCATGGCCCCTTTGTGACTCCTTGTGTGGAGAGAAGGACGGCACGTTACGGCTGGCTGGATCAGAGCACAGACGTGGTCTAGATAGCTCAGGCCTGGTTTCCCGGCCCCCCACAGCTCCTCTTAGGCTGTCAGGCATTGTTACCGGGTGCACTGCCACCCACAAGGCAGCTCCTAGACATTCACCTGTCACCCAGAACGTGCTCCTCCCCAGCACTGTGCAGAGAACTCCGCAGCCACCCCCTACCCGCAGGGGGCGTGCGCTCACATGGGACAGCAGCCAAGAGTCCGTGAGTTTGCGTTTGCCCCGCACGGCGTTTCCAACGTGGCGCACTGGCGTAAGCCGGGCCTGGCCCAGCACGGGAAAGGAAGGGGCTGCCCAGCCTCGCGGTACAGCCTTCCTCTGCCATTCAGCCACCTGCCCCTAGCGTGCACTCGCTGAGGAACGAGGGAGGAAGAGCCGTCACCCAACGCGCTGAACCTACTCTATCCAAAACGGCGCCGCTAAAGCCACCTTCCCTGCCTGACAGCCTCCCCAAACTTCCTGTCTCCCCAAAACGAGACTCGGTCGCCTCATCCTCACCTGTGCCGCTCCATCCCCGGCCCGTGTCCTCCTCTAGCCCTTCTAACGGCTGCTCCCTTTGCCGCCTCCTACTCAGGCATCCACGCTTCACTCAGCCCCTCTCCTAAAGCCAGAGCAGCGTCGCTTCCTGGGCACTAAGCAACCTTCTTTTCAGCCTTCCAATGACTCCCCTCCAGCCCAACCTGCTCTGCTCAGCTGCCTGCTGCATCTGACCCTTAGCGGCTGCACTGCAGCTAGTTCTGCAGCATCCCCCTGGGCTGTGAAGCATCGTGTAATCGCTCTGGATGGCCACTCACCTCATTCTCAGCTAGGGACGTAAAGATCCAGGCAGCAGGTTAACCAGCTAAACTAGTACAATTCTACCATTCCACCCGGGGGAGGGGAACCTCTTCTGGGTCGGGGGCTGCTGACCCACAGAACAATCACTCGGGGGCCACACACAAGTGAGACGCAAAGTGAGAAGCCCTGGCTGAGAAGGAGGAAGGCCCTCCCCATGCTCCCCTTGCACCCAGAGCCTAGCGGGGCCCAGGCTAGTAGACTGTGCGTGCTCCAGCCTCGTGGGTGAGCAGCAAGGGGCTGGAGCTCCAATGTGGGGAGAATCCCTGAGCCTCTGAGGCTGGATCCAGGCAAGCTGGGGGCCGGATTCGGACCCTGGGGCCAGAGGTTCCCCACCCGATTTAACCAGTTAACCATTAACTGAGGTCACAGTGGGGGCTGGGGCCTGCCAGCCCGACTCAGCCAGGGCTGCTTAACACTAACCAGTTAACCTTTTACATCCCTCTTCTCAGCTGACTCATCTCATCACCCCCTCACACAGGGGTCCCGTTCCCCGTTTTAGGGGGTCACCCCTGCCCTGCGGTGCCGCCTCCCTTACCGGTTATTGGCAGTGAAGTTGGCTGCCAGCAGCACAGTGGTTTCTTTCTTCCTCATGCCGGCTGGGGACTCTCGCGTGCTGGTGCTGCGGGTGCCGGATGGGACTGGGAAGGCTCTGGGCTGATCGTCCTAGAGGGCACAAGCGGAGACGTGTGTAAGCGCTCAGTCACTGTGCATTACAGACCCTTCCTGAGGAACGTGGTCTCCCTGCGGGGGCCGTGTCCCCCAGAAAGATTCACTGTCCCACCATCTCACGTGGTCTGAAAGGTCCAGACACCAGCAACCACTGGGAACGGGCCAGACAAATAGACCCAAGGTCTAACCCAGCTCAGGGGGCACCCGCATGGCTGTAGGCAGGCTCGGTAGGCATTTGTGCTGCAGCTCCAGAGTATTGGGGTGTTCAACCACCTCAGCCCCGAGCTGGAAACGGACCCGTCTCCAGAGAGACGAGAGGAAGGACCGAAGCATGTAACTTGAAGCCAATGGCTGCGCACAGGAGTACGGGGAGCATGCTGTGGCCCACAACAGTACAAATAGGGTGTTTTCCCTTACCAGGATATTCCATGTGGTTTTCTTATCTGGGGAGGTTTTGCTCAGACTTGCCAGCTTTTTTCTTCCCCCAGAGCTGCTGTCAAAGAAGGTCAAGAAGTCTCCAGGCTGCTCAGCACTATTATCCCAGAAGGAGGAAACCCCAAGAAAGGGAAGGAAAAAAAAAACCTTTTCAGGAACCTCACAGGCAGAACTAAGAGCAGTAAGACAGTGACGCCCTGGGGCTCTGTGCTTCAAGGGCTGCTGTGGTGCCAAGGGAGCAGTTTGAGTCAGATGGGAGCACTGTCCCTAACAAATCTGCACAGTCTGACACTAACCCATAGAGCTGGCTTGATAAAGCAGAGACTTGCCTGTCACCCAAACCAGGCAGGACAAGAGCTTTGCAGAAAGAGGGTGTTATGTAGTTCCTGGTACTGTGTGTAATTAGTTCTTACTAAGGATGTTAAAAAGCGGGTAATTGGATAACCATGTAACTGCTGAAAATCTCAGCAGTTACAAGGTAAATGTGCATCTGCAGCGCTGGGCCCACACCAGCTCCGGGCTCCCCGAGAGCCTGCGTGTAATTGTGAACAGTAACTGATGAGCCCGGTTTAAAGGGTTACACCTTTATACCCCTTGTTCTTACATGGTGCTTTGTATTTCAAAATCCCCATGTCAATAAACGTTATATTATGGGAAGGAACGAGTGAGGGACAGAGGCAGGACTCCTGGATTCCATCAGTGACTTGTCACATGACCCATGAAAAATCACCTACTCATCTCAAGCGGGGAGAATATCCCACTCACAGGGGTACTGTGAGCACCGTGAAATGCTTTGAGATTCCTGGCGAGGTGGAAAGCTTGGAGGAGTATGCATACAAGTACACATTTGTGTGTTCTTATGGCCTGCAGCAAAGGCTGTAGAGATCTAGCAAGAACGATAAGGCGGAAAACCTTTCACTGAATGCAGCATTTTAAAAAAATCTGAAAACCCAAATACCCAAAGTTGGACCAAACAGAAGCCTTCAGATAGCGGAAAGCACATGAGCATAACATCTGCCGTGCTCGTGGTACCCTGATGTCCACGGGGGCACAGTCTGGTTATGTTCCTAAAGCCAGACAGTTGATCAATTTCGCACAGTCCGCTGCAAACCTCACAGAGTCCAGTGCCCCAGAGCACTCACATATCTAACTCAGCAGTGGGCAGCCCAGCTCAGCACAGATCTGTGCTCAACATCTTCCTACGAACTTCCAGCTATACTAGGGCTCATTGTTTCTGAGCTACAATGTGGCAAAAACAGCATTGCAAGACTTTGCCAAAGAAGTGAGCCTGTTTATTCCCGCTCCCATCTTTCAGAAATGGTGCATATCTGCCTAAAACTAGCCAGGAGCCCTCCTCTAGCCACCAATCACAATGCAAAATCGGAAGGGCGGAGGGCCTTTAGTGAAGATTTACACAGTGGGAGGCAAAAATCAAGCTAATTAGAAGGAGCTTGATAAAATGGGAAGAAGCAACCTCCCCACACAAGCCCTGATTAATCTAGAAACCCCGCAAAGAACCTCACAAACAGCACACTAGTCTGAGGTGCCTGCTGTATCAGGACTTAAATCCCCATGGCATCTACTATTCTACGCCCAAAGCATTTCCCTCTGACATTTAACAATACATTCCTGGAGGTGGGGGGAGGCCTCGCTTTTAAGAGAAGCGGCAGCAGCAAGAAAAACAAACCTTCACTGTGCATCAGTTCCTAGGAACAGAATGTCCAAACACCCCATGTACCCCACTCTTACACGCTGAGGTTCTGCTCCCCCTTTCATACGGATCAAGAAATCAGAGTTCAGACCGTGTAAGAGGGGCCCTAAATGAGAGTCTGAAGCTGGAAGGGACATGGCATTTGTTTCTTTCATTCCTATAATTTCCCTCTGCCTCCCTCTCCCAATTCAGCCTTTCAGGTCTGTAACAGCAACAGTGAAGGAGCAGCGGGACCCAAGGCTGGGGGCAAATGTCAGTCAAACAGGAGAATGGCCTTTCACAATCAGAGACAGTGGAGAGTCTGCAATAGCAGAATAAAACCTTCCTACCTCTTGCGGGACAGGAGGAGGGAGGACAGGTCTCAGGGAGGTCACAACAGTTGACAGAAGTTTCTTCTCTCCTGTACTAATACGTGATGCTCTCTCTCCTTTAAGAGATGAAATCTCTCTACCTATTTATGAGTCTCTCTGGCTACGTCTACACTGGCCCCTTTTCCGGAAGGGGCATGTAAATTTCACTAGTCGTCGTAGGGAAATCCGCGGGGGATTTAAATATCCCCCGCGGCATTTAAATAAAAATGTCCGCCGCTTTTTTCCGGCTTTTAAAAAAGCCGGAAAAGAGCGTCTAGACTGGCCCCGATCCTCCGGAAAAAGTGCCCTTTTCCGGAGGGTCTTATTCCTACTTCAAAGTGTCAGGGTCTTATTCCTACTTCAAAGTAGGAATAAGAGCCTCTGGAAAAGGGCGCTTTTTCCGGAGGATCGGGGCCAGTCTAGACGCTCTTTTCCGGCTTTTTTAAAAGCCGGAAAAAAGCGGCGGACATTTTTATTTAAATGCCGCGGGGGATATTTAAATCCCCCGCGGATTTCCCTACGACGACTAGTGAAATTTACATGCCCCTTCCGGAAAAGGGGCCAGTGTAGACGTAGCCTCTATGTCTGAGCACCCAAAGGGCTGGGAAGTAGATCTGGTCAGCTCACCGGTCAGCTGTCCCTCTCCTTGCGTTGTCCATCCTGCATGCACAATGGTTTGCTATTCTATGGTGCTCAGAAGTGCTAAGCAACACAAGTTGGATTGTTAGAATGGACATCCGTGCCTCCTGGAATTAATTTGGGGTGTGGTTTACTCGAGGCTCATTTCTGAAAGGGTTTTTGTGTACATTGCCTGTCTCGCCTAGATTCTAACCTCATGCTCCCCCAAGGAAAAGGACCATTGGTTTTCCAAAACTGAAACCCAGACATGATCTGAAGGGACAGGAGAACATGAGATATCACTGAGAAAGGAGGTCAGTTTCCATCTCAGGATTAAAAGTACCTGAACCTCAGACAAGGACCAGTTAGCTTAACCAAACCATGACACTGAGGGTTTCCTTGCTTTTGGGTAAATGTGGTGGGTAGGTATTCTTTTAGCCCTACCTGAAAGCACCATTCACCTGCTGGTTGACCTGGGTGGTACTGCTGGATCTCCGGAGATTGTTAATGGCCCTGGAACAGCCAAGTCCTGCATCTTCCTGCATAGGGGAAAGCGAAATCTGTGAACTGCGGCACTCTGTAGTCACACCCTACACACTACTACAATGATATTTGTACAAAATGTGCTTTGTGACGTGTCAGATGAAATCTAACAAAACACTGATTATTAATCTCATGGTCAAAGACATGTGTCGACCCTGTACGTGAGGCTACAAATTCCCTCTATATGATGGTCACGATAAAACAGCCTAGCCTAGACCACGGTGATAAACGGGTCAGTCCTACACCCAGAAATGTGGGTTGACCTCAATTTACATAGTAGCAGTAAGGACAGCTATCCAGCTAAACAGCAGGGGGTTATCCTGTTCTGAGCTGGAGGGACAGAGAATCAACATCGCTAGAGAGATCACTAGAGAGATGCAGACAACTGAGTCCCCAGAAGTCTTCTTGCCTTGTAAGATGGAGAAATCTCTTCACGGATACAAGGAACAGAGCCACACTCCACCTTTATCCTTCACCTCAGGCGAAAAAGAAACTGAGGGTATGTCTACACTACAGCACTAATTCGAACCAACTTCATTCGAATTAGTTAATTCTAACTAAGCCAATTCGAATTAGTGCATCTAGACCTAAAAACTAATGCAAATTAGCATTTTGCTAATTCAAAATAGCATGTTCACATTGAGTGGACCCTGAACCGAAGTTAAGGCTGGCCAGAACAGGTGCCGGCAGGGCATCAGGTTAGGACTTAGAGTGTGGAGCTGCTGCCTCAGGCTAGCCG